AGCAGAGAAAAAGGGGTAGGCATTTGGGGATCTCCTGAGATTCACAAAGCAGCCCTGGTGATAATATGGTTAACCATTCCTGCTACCAGAAAGGTGGCAGTTGGAAACCACTAGTTGCTCTATGAGAAGATGTGTGAGTCTGCTTCCATACAGATTACAGCTTTGGCAAACCTATGGGGCAATTTTACTTGGCCCAGTAGCTTCTTTACGAGTCAAAATTGACTTGACAGTCATGAGTTTTATTTTTTGCTTTGTTTTTGTTTTATAATTTACATGGCTGAAGATGGGAAAGGAGAAATTGACAAGGAGGTTGATTTTCTGTTGCAAAGAGATGGGGAGTCACTACTTGGAAAATTTAGGATTAAATGTTGCTGTGACCTCATTTCCATTCAGAGTCTGGAAAATTGCAGTAGCTCACAGAAGGAATAGATTCTAACTATAGAATGTACAATAAGACATAAATTTGGCACTAAATCTTTCTGAACTCACCTCATCAGCAAATCTGGGATAATACTTCTTGTATCATAAGATTATTGTGAAGATTAATGAGGAAACTTTTGTGAGAGCTCCTGGCATAATATCTGACAGACAATGTCCAATTATGTTTGTTCATTGCTCAGTGAAGAAATCTTTGCTAGAAAATTAAGCTGGTATAAGAAGAAAAACCAAGCAAAACACTAGAATAAATTTCAAGAGCTTTTAATATTTATGATGAGAAAAAATGTCAGATTATTTTATAAGGTCAAGTAGAAGAGGAAGGAACCTGAATGGAGAATCAGCAAGATTAAGTTTTTCTCTTTTCCCCCGCTCATGTTCCAATTCCCCTGGTATCTTTGGTTAACTCCTCAGCTAACCTCTTGCAGTTTCAGATTGTCCTGGGAGAAAATGAGGGTGTTCTCTCAATAATAGCTGTACAGACAATTCACACTTTATTAGATAGGCTCCTTGATTGTTGTTTCTGTAACACTGTAAAAATTATTAGTTGCTTCTAAAAACATTAAAACTAAACCCACTGCTGTATCATATAGTATAATGATTATGAGGAAGTGGTGGTAGCCTAGAGCCTAATGTGAACCAGAAGGCCAGTGGTCAGAGTCCACTAGTGGCTCTGCAGGAGAAAGACGGGGCAGTCTGCTCCTGTAAAGCTTTAAGGTCGCAAAATCGTGATTGTAGGTTGTGATAAGTCAGCACCAACTCAACAGCAGTGGGCTGATAGAAATGATGGGATAACAATGATAATGTTTTGTGGTTTTAATTTTTTTTAAGCTCCATTTTTATAGAAAAAAACAGATGTGTACTAGAACTCCCAATTAAACAAATTGTAACTGTAAGAACTTAGGTTCACGGGATTGGTAAAGAATGTGGCATGGACTGCCACAGTGGGCTTGAGCGTGGCAGAGATCACAGGGAAGGTGCAAGAGAAGGCGAAGTTCAGGCTGTTCACAGGACGACACCTGATGATTCCAAAGCACCACTAAACTCCTGGCATCAACTTACTGAAATTAGAACTAAATGAGTAAGAGTGAGAAGACAGCCCATTTTATAATTTTACTTTGAACATTCAAATCTAAAAAGCAAGATCACAATTTTTTTTAACCACTTGTCATTGAGTCAATACTAGCACAGGTGACCCATGTGTGCCAGAGTGGAGCTGTGCTCCATTAGCATTTCCACAGAACACCAAGCTTTCCTTCTGTGGGGCCTCTGGGTGGATTGAAACCTACAGACTTTTGATAAGCAACTGAGTGCATTGCTACGCTACCCAGGACTCCAAAATTAGGATCACATTTTTGTTAGTATTAGTTTCTAACACTGTTTTATCAGTATATATGCTATCTATCTTTGTAATAAATATATATTTATTGTTTAATAAATATATACATATTGTTGTAATACACACACACGCACGCACACACACATATTGCTGTTGATTGCTGCCAAGTCAAGCACAACTCATAGCGACACTATGAACAAGACCTGAAGCCTTTGGATAACTATCTTTTCTCTAAGTCCATAGAGTTTCCAGAAGCGGCCTTCGAATCAATTCCTACTCATGATAACTCCCCACTGGGCTTCCCAGGCTGTGAGTCTTTGTAGGACGCTCATCATTTTCTGTGGAGCAGCTGTTGGATTCAAACTGTCAACCTTTCAGTTGGCTACAGAAAAAAACCCAATTTGATGACAATAAACATTTCTTGGGTTTTGCTTTTGTTTTGCTTTTTTTTTTATTTGTTGGATTTTGATGCCAAGTCGATTATTCCATTCTGTATGCTTTCCAGATTATTCCCTGAAGAGATGTAGAAAGGATTTAGTTTTGTTTGTTTGTTAATTTACAGAGCAGCTCCAAGTTCCAAGAGGTGAGATTGTGACCAGATGGTGATTGTTGACCTTAATTTTCCCCCACCTCTTTGCCTCCCCAAATTTCTCAATAAAATAGTTTAACCTCTGCCCCCAAATAAATAAATGAAATATTTTATTATTTATTTACCTTTTAGGGAATTCTGATGGCTTAGTGGTAAGGAGTCACACTGCCAACCTAAAGTTACTGGATCAAATCCACCAGCTGCTCTGAGTGAAAAAGAAAGGAAGTCTCCTCCTGTGCTATTAATGTCTCAAAAAAA